AATGCCATGCAATCTGATACAAGATGGTCAGTTGTTTCTGGATATTCATCACAGAATCAGCATTTTGGATCAATACAATTTTTTAGTATGTTTGCTAGTAATTTTTAGTTAGTAAGCATTGGTCCCAAGCAGCAAGAGTAAAACCTACACTATGTAACCACTGATGAGTACGAGGTTTGTCTACATCAGCTTGTTTAGCATGGGCAGAGTATTAAAGAGATTTATCTTGTCATTGTTTCTACATGTGGTCCATTGCATTTGCTTTTCTTTCTTTTTCTTTCTGCAGTAGGCATATGATGGTTTATTTGCTCTTCTTCATCCACTTGAAATTCCCTTTTGAATTTGTTGGCTTCCTTTATTACTGAATAAAGTTTCTCATTTCTTTTATGTTCTTTGACACAAATCATCATCCAGTCTTCTGAAATTTCCAGGTATTTTTGAAAACTGTTGTGGTTTTGTAAGACAGTTTTAATTGAACTAATCCTCAGCCTCCTATGGATCTTAGCACATACAAATAATCAACATTGGTCTTAGGATGATGCATGTGGTGGCAAGTGAGAAGCTTTCTTGCTTTGCATCCATTCATTTAATGTCAGTTATGGTCCAGTTAAGGATTTTGAAACTATATTACATCACAGGGACAGCCAAAGTGTTTATGGCTAATATTCTGTTTTGTTAATTAAACTCTGTATTTAATACCAAACACACACATCTGTAGTATTCTTTTCTTACTTCTGTATTTGAGTATGCTGTATTTTCTCTCTTTCATTGACTCCTAGGTATTTATAGTTCTCTTCCTGTTCCAGGCCCCTAATATTTGTGAGAAAATGGAGATCTATTGAGTGTGTTTCAGTAATCCTCCTTTTTTTGAATGTAACTTTTGCACATTTATCTTATCCAAGGTCCATAATGATGTCATTACTGAAATATTTTATAGTGCTTTTTATTATTCCTTTTACTTCAAGTGTGACGGGAATGCCACTGGTATGCAGGGGTTTACAAGGAAGGAAAGTGAAAGACTGAGAATAAGGAGGATTGAGGAAAGGACAAAAGATGAAGGTGATTCAAGATAATGATTGATGTTGCATTTAAATTTTTGAAGACTGCATTTATCAGGGAAGCAAGGAAACGAAAGAGAGTTCCACAGGGGAAAAGTGTGAGAAAAGAAACTGTTGGAGTAGAAGTGGTGGTTGCATTTAGCTGTTTCAACAATAAATGAGTGGGATCCAAATACCAATCTAATAGCGCACTTAAATTCATGTAGTTGGAGCACCAAAGAAAAAAGCTCATCAGAACATTTGCCATGAAAATATTTGTAGAAAAGACAAAGGGAAGCCATTTTACATCAGTGAGAAAGTGACTGAAGTCGAGATGCCTGGTCAGGATCAATTACATTACAGATCCTTCTTTAGATTTTGTCAAGAATCTCAAGATGTACAACAGGAGCACCAGACCAGATATGGCAGCAGTATACAATGCACAGATGAATGGTAGATTTGTAAGCGTGCAAGATGGTATTATCTTTCAACTCATTGTCATCTATGGAAATGTAGAATAAGTGATTAAACATTTTATTGTTTTATTTGTATACATAGTTATTATGGTTTAGTTTATGTAAAAGGTGGATTAGGGACAGACAAAACAGATGGAGTGACTTCTCTTCTACCTCAATCTAATAATATTTATTATTTTGATTGGTCAATTATAAATCAGATCAATGACCATATTTCTTGATGCATATTTGTCATCTATATCTTTCCATATAATAAGCAAAAGATTTAATGAACTAAACAAGTTTTCATAAGAAATAGAATGGATATTGTAAAGGAAATAAGTAAAAAAAGAAAATCCCAAATTATGTGTTAACTGGCTTTTCAGAGCATCATCAATGTCTATCCAATCATATTAGTGTGTTTAAATCATATGATTTAAATATCTTTCATCTTATAAATCCCTATTCAATCAATGTTGGTTTTACTGAATAATTTATTTTTATTTTTTTTTAAAAAATGTCATGTCATTTTAAGATGTAGGTGATCATGGCTCTCCACAGATTGTTTTTCCTTATTATCTGTGAATTGCCATGCTTTCTTAGGCAAAATAGTGGATTGACCTTCTCAGTGATTTAGAATTCAAATTTTCCTTCTCCTAGATTGATTACCATTCAAAGCAAGAGAGCTCAATTGTTTTTTTTAAATACTTAAAGTAAAATCAGCTAGAAATTTATTTACGTTTAACAGAAAAATGATATTTTTTTCTATAAAAGATAAAAATTTGAATTATTCCCATCCATTTATAAAAGTTGGATAGAGCTCTTAGCTTGGGATTGCTGAAAAATACTTTATGTGATCATGAGAATAATTTCATTTTTATATTCTAATGCAGTACATCCTTCTAATGATTTGACAACTGTGTTGAATATTCATGATAAATCCACACATAAAATGTGTATGTGAATTTGTAACTTTTTATAGTGCACTGATACTACACTCTGATCCTAGGCAGAAGTGCCAATCCATACTTAAGAAATCAATATTTTTACAGTATTGTGCTAATACCTATATAATCTCTGAAACAATCTAAAAAAATACTTTTACTGTTGGAAATATTGCTGGAGTATTTTGGAAATTAACCATGCATCAGCTTTTTGCAACATAAGTATCGACCTTATAGTCTTGTTCTATTAGGATCACTAGAGTTGCTCTTCAAAGAAATTGATTGAAATCATTCAAATACTCACATTTTCTGATGTGCCAGCATTGTTTTCATAGCGAGTCTCGATGTAGACAGAAAATTTTGGAAGGAAAGAACACTGCAAAACAAGAAAAAAATAAAATCAGTATTTGGGCAGTATTTGTTACAACGAACACATACAGCAAAGTAAATGATATAATATCAAAGACTAGAGAAGATAGACTATTTTTACTTTGTCAGAACTTTGATGAACAGTTAAAGTATAACAAACATATTTGTACTTTATTTAAAACTTGTTTAAATGTCACCTTCTGTGACCTTTGGAATGTTAAGACACTTCCTTTTTGTAGGAATTTATATTATAATTTGTTGCAAATGCTGATTAAGCTTAATAATTATTGCTATTATCAAAGAATCATCACTGGTATACCACTATGGCTGACTGAATGCAGTCAAGTTCAAGGATTCCTCTTTGTTTATTCCTCTTATTTTTTTATAAAGAAAACTTGGGAAAATGATGAATTATCAATTGAGTGGAAGTACTCTCCATTTGGTGGAGGGGGGATTTTTTGAGGGAGACTTAATCAGAAATTATTAAAAACTGAACTATGGATTTTTGCAGAATTGTACTAACAAAAATTTTCTTGTGTTGGGAGAAAAAAAAAGCAAACAAGCATGTGTAAATTGGATCACTATAATACAGAAGTATGAGGTAGTACTAGAAAATTCCTGGAACTCTGGCACAAAAGAGCTTCTTTAAACAAAAATTTGATAGATAATGAATTTTTTCTACTATGTTTTATATATATATATATATATATATATATATATATATTATGAAATGGACTAAATCCAACAATTATTTTAATATATTTTCTGTTTGTACATTATTTTTATAGATACAAATATTTAAATAAATGCTCTGTTTATAATAAACAGTATGAACAACATTTACCAGCCTAAATGTCCAAGAAATTTCGTAGAAAATATATGCCCTGTGTTCGAGAGAAATCTTGAATACTTTGTAGTTTAAAAACAGTAATTTGACCTTGCTAAACAAACACTTCCTCTGTCGCTAAATAGTATAGCACGTCAGGCTATATGACAGTCCCATGTAGGATACAAGTTCAATTCCTGTCAGCAGGCACATAGTTTCTATGAAATTTCTTGAATATTCAAGCCAGTAAATGTTGTTAAATACTGTTTATTATAAACAGAGCATTCACTTAAATATTTGTATCTATAAAAATAATGTACAAACAGAAAATGTGTTAATCTCTTTTATATATATATATATATGAAGAAAAATACTGAAAAAACAAACAAAAATCTTAATATGCAATTATGCTGTATTAATGTTAATATAAAGTCGACGTCGGATGTTTCGGTCTATTTAAGACCATCTTCATGGACATTTTCATTTAAACATAATTAACATTAGAACATATAAAAAATTCAACATGAAAAGACGATGGACATAAGAGCACAACTAATCCAAACAGATAACTGAAATTTTTATATAAGATCAGCATTTCGCTTAAATATGATCATGTCAAGCCACGTGGGCGATGTTGTGGAAACGATTCAAAGATTATTTCCAAATATTAAAAAAAGTTGATTGAACTATTTTATATAAACAGTTCAAGAAATCCTTCCGCTGATATAGGAATACGAGAGATCAATAGGTTCTTATATCTTCATACAAGCTTGAAGTCCTCCACGTTACAAAGCAAATCAAAATGATTTAAAAAACGATGGAACAATTTTTAAAAACAGTTCGATAATAAATCCTTTCCTTACTTGATCAATAGATTCTTATATTTTATAGGTTATAATAATATAGGTTATCTCTCTCTGGTAGAGAACTCTTGCTGATAATAAGAGTCTTTTATAAACTGATGATAATGGGTATGACTCCAAATTAGTATCTGTCTATATTTCTGAGATGAGGTATTATGTACACTATTTACATTATTCAGACTATTATCCTCATCTTTGTCACCATATTTATTACAACATTTCAGCCCTTCAGTATCTGTCTATATTCCTGAGATGAGGTATTATGTGCACTATTTATATTATTTGGACTATTATCCTCATCTTTGTTGCCATATTTATTATGTTTTGGCCATTGTACGCTCCGGTCTTCTTCAAGGACACATGGCACAGTGGATAAAGGCATTGATCAGATCCAGTGACAGGACCTAAAGATTGTGAGTTCAATACCCGGTTAAGGCAGTGGAGAACTTGGAGAGGGGAATTAACAGGAGATAACTGATAACTGACTTCCATTAAATATGGCATGTGGAACTAGAACAGTCTACCCCAGTGAGTGAAATAAAGGGTTCAGTTCGACATTCCAACTACCTGAAGAAGGCCGGAGCATACAACAGCTGAAATGTTGTAATAAATATGGCGACAAAGATGAAGACAATAGTTCGAATAATGTAAATAGTGACCCAAATTAGGTGCAAAATAGGATTCAAGTGCCAACTTGAGGCAACCACAAACAAATGAGATGTGTCTTCAGCCCACTCCAAGGACAGGTGATGTGAACCACGTACTAACCTGAATGATATAAGGATGATGAAGCTATTGAAAGAAGAATGAACAGCATACAGATGAGTGTTCAATCAATGTCATGCAGACACATATCTGGAAATCATCTCTAATGTCACAATTTCTTTCAAGAATAGAGCATTTTTATTTAGATAAAGGCCAATAGATTTTTTTTTGGTTATGTAAAAGCCACAAATTGAAGTAATTAATATAACCAAGTTGCTACAAATGATTTTCAATGTTTGACTTGGATATTTTAAATATATTGATTATTTTCTATATTGTATAATATTGATTATTCTACAGTAACATCCTGATTTGATTGCTATAAAAACTTCAGTGGATTTACTAAACTCTAGAACACTAGTGAGAAATCTTCATTTTCAGTGTAGTCTTTTGTGTTCTTCATAAATTGTATTGTTTATGGCTTTTATAGTTACATTGCTTAGATATTCAAATAAATCAATTTTCTGCTATGAAAATGGTAACCACTTTAACATTTAGATCACAGCTTGAGGAAATTAAGCAATTTTTAATATATCTTGAAAATCTAACAAATCTAAATTTGCTTCACTGAATTATTTTATTTTTTAAAATGTTATAAAATAATAAATACTCAGTTTGTTTTGTCTAATAATGGATTTATTCCTTTATAGTTTACTTAATAAAAATCAATAAAAATTATTCCATTTGATTACTATGTTATCACACTTAGCATTGCATTATGACACTTACATGCCACATAAAAGAGAAATGGCCATCAAGATGTTTAAAAAAAAATCAAAAAGCTTTAATCCTAATAACTTTGCTAGTACCATTTTATGTCATAGGCAAATCACTTTTTGAGAGATTGTGTAGTGCCGAGAAGCAAAAGAAAGAAAGCATGACAGCAAGTGGTTAGGATAAAGAAAATCAGATAAGCTGCACCTTGACTTGTTTTAAATGGTTGAAACATATTAGAACATATTTGATAGATTTAAAAATAAAAGCTTTTTAGCTTGTTCATTTTAATTGATGGGATAACTTCTTGGTTAGAAGAGCATTATTTTTATTGCAATCTGGCAAAATGCCAGCAGAAAGTGTTTAATATATTTACAAAATACAAAATGATGAGAGAATAGATATGAATATAAGGTAGCCTTATGTGTCGGGCCAAGGTTTTTTGCTTTGAGAAAGTCCACTTTGGACAAAATGCGTCAGCAATAACTAGTTTTCTTATTGTCATTTATATTTATAAGTATTGTCTTTTCTACAGGATAACTCTGAGAAATTTTCATATATATATATATATATATATATATAATATGAAGGGTTGCTGGAAAGTTCAATGCCTGATTAAAAACATTGAAAAAAAAAAAAAAAAAAATTGTTGTTTGGTCAAATTTTGGGAAGTGTGCCATGCTAAGACCTTTTCACCACCCCCTTGTCTATCCCTTCAGTCAATATAAATGTCAACATATAATGCAGACAGGAGCTACACAGTCTTCACTTTCCAAGCTTGATAGAGTCCAAAAGCATCTCTGGGTCCTTGTGGGTGACAAATTATTTTTCACCTTACAATCCCTTTTTTTCACAGATCAAACATTGCAAGCCTCTTGCTGCTCTATTGCCATTTCCATGGAAAGTGTTCAGGCAAACTATATTCTTTAGATTCACCAATTCTAACCATCATGGCTACAACGTGCCATGCTATGCTCATTGCAGCAAATCACCCTCATTCCCTTCATCTTCAATTGGTGAGATGTAAGTTCCACTTGAGCAGTTTCTTACCACAAACCACTGATTTATAGAACCAACTCCCAAGAGGATGCTGCCTCAATGATGACAATGTTAACCTCTTCAAGTCTAGAGTTAACTGTTATCTTCCCCACATATCTACATAAACTGTTCCCCTTACTCTGTACCTTGAGTGGCCCCTGGGCCTTGTACAGGGTGAACATCGATGTAAAAAAAAAAAAAAAAATGTATAAAATAAATCAACAATATATAATTTTCTTCTTTGAGCTATGTCCTTTCAAGATGTGGGTGATCATGGCTCTCCACAATTTCCTGTCCTTTGTAGCCCTTACAATACAAATGTATAAACTCTTGTGTATTTCTGTCTGTGCTAGTAATACGATTTGTTTATTTTACAAAGCTGTGCTCAACAGAGAAAAGGAATCTAAGCAGCTGCATTCTTCTCTGAAAAGAACTAACCAAGAATACTTGTGCAACACCCTCGTTTCTTGATTTCTTTGTTCTGCTCATGATCTTTAGGATTTTATTCTATTGATTATAAAATAACAAATGCTTTGCTCAATTGCTTATCAGGTGTTGAACAATGAGTTGCAAGCATTATATAATGTTTTGAAGCTTCAAATGTTCACACAGATATACACATGCACACACATACCAAAGAAAGAAACATGCAATTTGGAACACAGTTAATCAATACAGATTGATTTTTAATCTCTTGGTAATTAAATTGATTTTTGCTAATTTACATTTTATTAATTTAACTTGTTCAGTAACTGACACTTCACTGACAACAAGATGATCACATTTTGAATCTAAATTCTTTGTTCATTTTAAAACACTACATTTATTAGGAAATATATTCAGTTTAAATACAGATGGAGTCATAAAAATGACTTTAAAAGGCTACACATTTCGTCTTGTACACATTTCTTGTTACTCAGGGGTTATTACTAGATAGAAAGAAAATTATCCTTTGCAGCATAGATATTCATTTCAATTTCATTCAAATTGTGTTTACTTGCATGTATGTATGTATGTATGTATGAATGTACATTTCAGTTCAATGACAGAGCTAAAATATTTCTACAAAATTATAAAAAAATTAATTTTAAAACAATTTTATTTACAATGGAATAATTTCCAAAAAGTTCAATAGAATTTTATAATTATTTGAATTTTTTTAGAGTTTAAAAAAACAAACAAACAAAAAACAAACTTTCTTGTCTCCAACTTTATTGTTCTGTTGAGAGAAAAGGTTGAGTTGGAGGGGAATGTATTATTCCAATGTCTTGTTTCAAACTTACTTAAATTGTGTGTGCATGTGTATACATTGAATAACAAGCACATGTAAATCACTCACACACAATGCAGACATACACATATGTTACGCACACATACAAAATCACACGCAAAGTTTGACACAGAGAGAATAATATAGATTCCTTTTAGCAATGGAAAGTAAAACAAACAAACAAACAAAAAAGAGTAAACAAAAAGCAACAGAAATTATTCTCATCTCTCATCTTCATTTATTTACTTACTAGCAGCATAACCCATCTTCAACCGGGTGTTTCATTACTGGGAAATTTTTCCATTCAGTTGGAGCAGTTTAAGTTTAAAGTCAACCCAGCTGAAAATCAATATTAGTAACAACAATTGGGTGCAACTGAGGCATGTCCCCAATTTGGGGATTAACAATTTGAATGGTGGGGTTGGGCTAAAAAGTGCCATTTTTGTGTTTTCAATCTTGCAAGGAAGGAACCGCTTCCATTGGACTGTCATAATAATAATATATGATAACTTTTATTTATAATATAACTTTTTTTAAATTCTAATAGTCTTTTGTGTTAGATTTCAACTCTCTAAATTGATTGTATGCTGTTTTTTACAGACATTAAATTTTGCCTTTGATTTTTGCACAAAGTGTAAAAAAAAAACAGTTTTTTCAATTTTCACCTCCAAGGTTGTAATTTTTTCCAGCCAATTTTGACTCAAAGCCAACACTGAAGAATTATCTATCAAACAAAAAAAATTTCATTGAAATCGGATGAAAACTGTGGAAACACATAAAAATCCGATCACACACATACATACACAGACACACACACATTTGAGAATAATAGATATAGATGCTATGAGTTTTTGTTTTTGCGTCTGTTGAAAATCTTTAAGTTATAGGATTTTTGTTTTGTTTTTTTTGTAAAGCTCTTTGCTTATGATTTGATAGCCTAAGTCTATAAGATCTGAAGGTAAATGATAATGGTAAAATTAGACATTTCCTTGTAAAGAAACATTTAGCATTGACTGACCAAACAGCATTAATGTCAGTTGAAATTTATAATAATCATTTTCTTAAAAGAGCTTTTCAGGAAATTAAACTTCTCAAGTCCACTAAATAGAAGTTTAATTTTCTTCCAAACCTTTTCTTTTTGGTAGGTGCGGTAAGTTAACAACTTGATTATATCATTATTTTCTCCTTTATAATTTGTCATTGCCGCCATTTGAAGTGTTCAAGTCATATTGTTTTTCTGCCTATATTTCTGAGATAAGATATTGTAACTATTTACATTATTCAGACTGTTGTCCTCATCTGTATTGTCATATTTATGATGTTTTGGCTGTTGTATGCTCCTGCTTCAAGTGATACATGGCCCAATAGATAAAAAGCATTGGTTGAAGTAATTCAGTGACTTGTGAGTTCAATACCTGACCACAGCACAGGTGAACAAAAACTTGAAGAGTTGAGTTACTAAAGTGAAATAACTGAAACTGAGATATCCAGAAAAGGTATGGCACATGGAACTAAAATAATCCTCACCATGACTGACTTATATATACAAGTCAGTCATGGGCAGCCTTTTTCGAGCAGTGGGTTGCATGATCTATGATCATTACAAGGCTGGCCATACTATTAAAAATATTTAAGTTAATTTTTTGTTATAGGTACTCAGCTATTTTCACTACAGAACACCATTAAGAATATACCTTAGAAATGTTGGGTGGAGGTAGGAATTTGATTATATATATATATCTCAAATAAGAAGTTACCACTAAAATAACATTTGAAGTAATAAAAATGGTGGATTAAGAAATAAATCCATTAAATCTTAAGAAATTACTTTGTTCATTTTTTGGATATGAAATTTAGCCAATGTGGGCTCTCGAGAAAAATAATCTGAGTGAAGGGGTTTGGTTTATTTTGTTTTACAGTGTATCCACCTTAATGGGTTATTTAATGCTGACAAAATATTTACGAGATGTTCGTATGAATAGAATATGGATTCTTTGTAGAAAATCAGTTTGTAGATCAGATTTCACTGATGTATTTTTGTAAAGAGGGTTTTTGTCAAGAGTCAAATCTATTGCTAGTAAATTTTTTTTTTTCAAAGATGTATTGCTGTTAATAATTTTTTTTTTCCTCGAAATGATAATTTTTTTTTTCTTTTTCAGCCTCAATGATACCATGCTTATGTATTAAATTGTTATAAGTTGTTTGCTTGTTCAGTTTATGTTTAGTAGGTGAAGTGCCCATAAATGCTTTCTGATCTGATAGTACTTTGTTTCTCATCATGTTTTATTCTTTGGAGGTCTTTTGTTTCTGCTTGTCTGTTTGGTTTTGTTTGATTTGTTTTTCCATTAGTTTCTTTTTGCAATCTTTGTCTGGATGATGACCATTTCTTTATTTGAGGTGAGATAGAGTTTTGTTCATCTACGTCCATTTATCTTGGTTCTTCACTGATGTACTGAGTTATGTTATTTCTTTTATGAACCTTTTGTTTCTCCTGTAAATATTTAGAGGGTTCGATTTCTTGGAGGATTTTTGTACTTTGGATTAGGGTTTTCAGACTTATTTGTTTTGTTCTTATAGATTCTTTTTTGTTTGAATTATTTAATCTCAAACCAAACCCTTTATTTCATCCACGGGGATAGATTGTTCCAGTTCCACATGCTGTGGAAATAAAGTGTTCTATTCAAAATTCCAATCACCTGAAGAAGGCTGAAGTGTACAACGTCTGAAATATTGTGAATATGGCAATGAAGATGAGGATAACAGTTTGAATAATGTAAATAATGTAAATATTTATTCTTATTGTTTGCAGTTTTGGCATAAAGAAGGCCTTTCACAAGGTGACTCTTCATGATCAGTCTCAAGTTCCCCACATTTTTAACAGACTGATACTCTTGTACGTTGATCTTGTAGATGGCCAAATTTCTGATATTTGTGACATCTACAGGGATTAGGGATGTATGGCTCTACCTTGGATGTTGTGTATCCATCCTATTTTTATTTCTTTAGATAGGGTAAGTTCATTGAATGCCAAAATGTATGAGTTTGTGTTCATTGATGTGTCCATTTCTTTTTATTTGTATTCTTTTGACATCTGTTATGCTTTATTTTTTAAGGGTGTCATCATTTTTAATTCCAGTGAGCAGAGTGACAGTTCTGGGCATTTTATTACTCCCTTAGAAGAGTTAAGAAATTGGTGGGGGTGGTAAGCCTTTACTTTAATGTCGTTTATTTGATTGATTTTTAGTATGTTTTCTGTGTCTTTTTTGATTTTTTACTTGAATTAGAAGTGTGTTATTTTTCAATACTTCTTTTTATCGATTTTGGTTCCATCATGGCTGATATAACCTTTTGCAACACAAAAGGTGTCACTTTTGTTATTTCACCCTCTAATGATCCTATGAAAATTGGAAATTGTTTTTTTCCTGCTATTTCATTATCACTTTCCATTTCAAAGTTTTCATACCGTCTCTTGAATCGTTTATAAGAGTTAGTCATATAATTTTCTTTTTGTATTCACAGTCTGTGCTCCCTACCCACCTTGGAATTTTCTTTTTGAGGGATGCTAACAGGGGGGGACTAATCCCTTTCAGTCTGATCCACCAGGGCTACAGACAGTATAGTCATGCTGAAAGTGACTGCATTCCCCTACCATATCTACCCAAGTATAGTATGGTGTAAGTATTCACAGGCATTTCATGGTCACTCTCTTTCATCCCAACTCGCCCTTGCCACTACGTGACTAGCCAATTGGATTGGATTGGATTGAGTTATTCTATCCACCTGTCTATCATAGGTTGGGACGGAGGGGTGTGTTGTGGAAACTCCTGGCCATTTTATACCAGGTCAAGAGTCACTCAGTCACCAGGAGTCTGTTCCTGGAATCACCCATGGCAAACCAGTAGCCCCATTGAGAGGATTTATAGTTTTTCAAAATCAGTTTTTGTAAATGTGAGCTTTATATATTGCAATTTTATAGATATTTTTGTATGAACAGAGTTTAGCCATAGCATATTGTGTAAACAGATAATTTGTGGATTATGATTTTTGTTGGTAGTTTAAAGGTGTCTATTTTTTTTTTCAATAGATTGTATAGAAAAACTATATTTTTCCTGAAGGCGCCATCCTAGGTATAAACTGATAGGTTCTAGGCTTATCATATAAGCTGATGTCATGTAGGTGAAATTTTCTTTATACAAATAATTAGTTTCTAATCTATTTT